TACTTCAGTCTGTGTGCATTGAATTTATTTAATACACGAGTTTCACAATTTGAGTTGAATTACTGAAATAAATGAACTTTTCCACGACATTCTAATTTATTGAGATGCACCTGTATAATTAACAGTAAATAAGCTCTCGCTAGTGTTTTTTTTTATAGTGAACAGTGGATAACTTTCCTGAAATAAATGCAATATTGTTCGCAAGCTGTTTTATTTGACGACTTTCGGTTAAAACGCTGATTGAGCGATTATATAAGACATGATATGTTTCGGTAAGTTATACTGTATCTTTCAACATACCTTCTGATGTTCATTTATGTTTATTTTGAGCTATAACTTGTATTAAAGTGGAAGAGACGCATGCTCCACGCTGTCGCTTGAACTGAAGCTGCTACAGCGATCTGACATGTAACATTAATAAACAAGAGCGTCAAAATGAAATTTATTGTTTGAATTTTGTTATAAAATATACAGGATTTAAAAGCTGAGATTTTGTTTATTTTCAGAAGTAACAAAGCACAAAGCTCTTTGCGATAACTGTATTGGAGGCGCATTACAAAAAATGTTTTGTGAAGGCAAAACTGCGGATCTGGAAACCCTGGCTTGAAATACGGGTGTTTCATAGGGTCAAATAGAACCCTTATTATTGCTTTAACCTGGACAGCCCTAAATTCAACACAAGAAACATTTTCTTCATGCAAGTTGCAGTCTGACACACGTTTCCGCCACCTTTTGATTGACAGGAAATAATCGGCCCTGATCACCGGCTGTTTTTCAACAATCGGCCGATGGCCATTAGGGCAGGTAATTGTTTTTACCGGCCGATACGGATTATTGCCCGATAAATCGTGCATCCCTATATTATATTATATTCATATTTTTTTACCCTATCTGCATCTTTGGTGACCCACACAGAGTTGTGACCCCTAGGTTGAGAACCTCTGTTTCAAATACTTATCATTGCATCAAGCAGGTGGAGGAAGTGCAACAGCCCTTGGGTGATTGACGGAGATTGTGCAGTGATTAAGATGCTCTGCAAGAGCCGTCTGTGGTGTCACCATTTCACCAGAGTACCCCGCAGAATGGAGTGCGACAGCTCGTCTGTCAGAGCGGAGCCTCTGACTTTCTCTGTACCCTTGCCGGTAGGTTTGCGCAGGAGTTAAATGACTGACAGTAGGCACGCAAACACATCTCATCCTCTGCCTAGCAGCAAATGTATGCACAGCAGGGGTGTATAAACTGTGCTGTGCAATGGAGATCAGTTGGGTAATAGATGATGAGGTTCTCGGAAAAGTTCATCCTTAAATGTCAGTGCTCTGTCTCAATGGCTTTCTCACTTCTGTCACAACGCAACCATGGAGCGACTCCATCAGTCACAAAAGAGTGCAACTGCGCCATCAGCTTAAGATGCTAGCCATGGGGGATGGGAGGGTCCTAAAATAACTACACTGGCCTAATAAACTTGGTCCAGTGGGCCAAGACCTTACCTAATCACATTCCTCTCCAAAACACAAAGTATTTCAATGTTCAAATGAAAATCAAGCTCAAGATCTGAAGTTCACAATGCCAGCCTCGAGTATGACTTCTACAAGCTGACAACTATGACCACGAGCTGTTTAAAAGTCTGGAGACGCCATCGCCTGAGAGTCATTTCTCATGTAGCTCTCGTTTTAAACTCAGAGTCCGCTCCAAACAAGCCTGGTGTAATTCACGCACATTAAACAGCACAGAGATGCAGAGAGCTGTTTTTTTTTTCAGGCTAAGTTGGTTTCTTTAGCCGGGTGCTAATCAGAATCAGACACATCTGATTGGGTGGAGAGGCATGACTGATTGGCTCACGCTCTGTCGACTGCGTTTCTTCAAACCGTGCGCCGAGCCACATTTACGCCTGTCTGCCAATTACACCGGGGTGGATAGCTGTCTGCTGGAGAGCAGGTGTCAATGGAGCGAACTCGAGTCAAAATATGCAGTAAACGCATGCGCGTGAAAAGGTGTATGTTTGCCTTTTTACGTGCCTAGACAATGTAACAGTATGGATGTGTGTAAATAAGCTCTGCACCCGCTACGGCATTACTTTCTGATGGCCAATTAGCCAAGACCATCATTTCACATAGTGCTAAAGTCCAGACGTCAGCGAGAAGGCCGAGGGCTGTTCCTCCCTGCTGTTTATTTATTTAAGTATCCTTGTGTCTTACAGACAAAGTCAGATTGATAGATTAAGCTATCCAGTCTCCGGATCAATAACCACGGCGGAACGAGGGAGCGACTGGGAACTTTTAATGTGCACACTCTGTTTATTGTGCGCACACTGTGTTTTCTAGTCAAAGGCGAACAAAGTTTGTCCAAATGACAGAAGAAGGCATTAACGACCGTGAGCGCCGACGATTAAATGTGAGAACTGACAAACCAAGAGAAATGAAAAGGCTCATTCGTGTAAGTCCGTGTGTAATAGTGTTTTGTTTGTCTTTGTGTGGGGAAGAGGGTTAGCGAAACAAATACAGCAGCTACGGTAAAGTACAAATGGCTGTGCAAGCGGAAGGCGGCCCCTGTGCCCTGATCTGTTACCAGTTCCACCGACAATAAACCTGGCATTAACTAAATTAGGAAAACTAGGGGAAAAGCTGGTCTCAGACCATCGGCTAGTGGGGCGACTTCTGCCAGTTCCATAAATCACATCTACAACAGGAAAGGAGAGGAAGCAGGCAGGAGTCTTGAGTCCTGTCCTTTCCTTCTAACTACAGAATGTGTGTATATGTGAGTGTATATGTGTGTGTGAGAGAGGACAGAGGCGGCTAGAGTTAGGAGCAGCATGGAGAGAGCAGCAGTCACACAGATCTAAGGCCAGAGTGTTTACCTGGCCCTGTGCTCTGAGGGTATGCTGCGTAGCCGCCTCTTCCATGGGCCCCCCTACCTGAGCCGCGTGCTGCTGCCACTGCTGCCGCTACTGGACCGTACGCTGTTGCCTGGAAGCCTGTGCGGGTGGGTGGGGTTTGGGATCAGGATGTGGTTGAGGTAAGAGGAGAGAGGAGGAGAAGACACGTGGAGAGGGAATGGAAGGATAACAGAATGGAAAATGAAATAAGAAAAGAGAAGAAGAACAGAAGCGTGGAAACAGGGTTGAAAAGGAAAAAGTAAAGGAATGAGAGGAGAGGGGAGTAAAAAAAAATCAAGAATAGACATAAGATAAGAGGAGAGGTAAGAAGGAAAATAGGATACAGGGCAGAAAGTGAGGAAATAGAGAAAAGAGAGGAATGGAAGGGGATGGAAAAATGGACAGGTGAGAAAAATAGGAAACAGAGTGGAAAAAGGGAGTAGAGAAGTAATAAGAGAAGAGAGGAAAAAAGGTGGAAAGGAGAGGAAAAACACAGGGAACAGGGCAGAGGTGAGAATAAACAAGGGAACAAGGTGGAAAATGGGCATTAGCAAAAGGATGAAAGGAAAGGAGAAAATATAGGAAAGTAAAACAGAGAACAGGGCAAAAAATGAAATGTGGAAGAGTGAAGGTATGAGAGGAGAAGTACAAAAGAGGAAACAGGAGTAGGCATAGAAACAAGCAGACAGAAGAAGAGGAAAGAGGAGAAGGAGCAGGGTGGAAAATGGGGAGTAGTGAAGGGAGGAGAGGGTAAAAAAGGAGAGGGAAAATGAGAGGAGAGGATAAATTAGAAAAAAAGCAGGATCAAGCTACCTCACAACATTACTGACTCATAAAGTTGCTGCAGTGTCATTGCAGGTTCTGCAGGCTGCTGTAATGTACTGTGTACTGTGGGCGTCTTCGGAGTGTGGAGGAGACTGCAGTGGCCCTAATGCACTCTGGGTATTTCTGCATGGGTGACCACGCTGCTCCTTAGCTTATCTGTTTGAAGCACACAGCGGGAGGGCTACGGCTGAGCATCAGACTTTCAGATATGCTACTGAGCTTGTGTGGTCAAGTAACTGTGATAAACTAATTAGATTTCAGCTATCATGCGAAATGTAAAGGGACTAGAATGCTTTAATGGTGTAAATATAGCACTGCAGTACACAGTTATTCAATGGCCCAACATTAATTTGTTAAATAGCAAAAAAATATGAAAAAAAACCCTTTAGATTTAAAAATAATAATAATAAAAATAAATCTCTTTATTTGTTAATATGAATTTGATAGGGATTGTATACTAAATATGACAGATTACCTCAATGTCCTCTTGATATTTTTTGACATCAGTGGCATATGTAACACTTTACTCGATGCCTGTTTATGCAAAGGTATTCTTTAATCCATTCATATATAATACACCCTATAATAAAAAAGTAAATAATTCTCAGGATTATTTATTTAACATTTATTATATACTACTGTTCAAAAATTTGGGGTTAGATAAGATTCTTTTTTTTTTTAAGGATGCATTAAATATTAGAATAATTTCTGAAGGATCATTTGACATTGAAGACTGGAGTAATGGCTGCTGAAATTTCAGCTTTGCCATAATAGGAATAAATAATATTTTTAAATATATTCAAATAGAAAACTTTTTTTAATTTTAACAATATTTTACAATATCACTGTTGTAAATGTAGCCTTGGTGAAAAATAAAAGACTTATTTCACAAACATTAAAAAATCTTACCAACCCCAAACGTTTGATGAAAATGTAAATTATTTCAAGGCAAAAAAAAAAAAAAATGTATGTGACTTTTTATTGCCTTATAGTCTATACTATCCATTTGTCTGTGTATTTTCATTCAAATTTGTCATTTTAATTTTATTTTGTCTTGAGCATTTCAACACACACCAAACACTCATTCATCAAGCAAATGAGAATTTTCTACTTATGCAGCACCAGTTTCCATAACACCTCACAAATCACAAATTCACGCTATAACAAGAGCTGAAAAGAGACACGAGACCAGGGGGCGAGTCAGAAACCGCAGCTTGAATTCCATAAAGGCAGAGAGAAATCCAGCAAGAGCCAGAAAGATGATCCAGTGCAACACTATAGGGTTAACTCCAACCATGACCGGCATCGGCAGCACAAAGGCGATATGGAAATGGCTCCACGCTCCCGACACTTTGTAGTCCACTTAAGTCACTTATCTCTGCGCTGCCGCTCATGTTTGGGCGGGAGAACGAGGAAGCGAGACAGAGACGGAGAGTCGTAAAGCCGAGCAGGCGAATCGTCCTCCAGTTTATGCCTTGAAACTCAATCAATCAGGAGGATAATTTGGTCTCCAGGCAGTGTGAACTGATGCTACAGTCACACCGGCAGGGCTGGATGAAAGTGTCTTCATCTCCTTCCCGGTTTAGCGGCTCTTTATGGTGTTATTACGAGATTAGGCATCAGGGATTAATTGCTCGCTACCAAGTGCCCTTTAATTCACTTTAAGCGTGCGTTACACAGGGGAAGGGAACAGGTATGGAACAGCAGCGAGGAAGGGGGCAGAATGCATGTGTGCGAAATAAAGTAAACTGACTGTAGGTGAATACACTGACTGCAGAGTCCAAGATTCATGTTTACAAGACTTTGGCTTAATGGTTTTATGCACGACTACCTTCCACTAAAAACAATAGCTCTGTTCCAAAGCATAGTGAGCTGCCTCACTGCCTAAATAGCAAGTTGCCTTCTGAGGCTGTATTCTAATCATCATGGAAACTCATAAGTGACTGATTTGGAATGCTCTACATAGGAAGAAACTCAATCAGCATCACCAATAGCAATTCACAATTGATTCCAATAGAGTTTGATGTTAGCAAGTTGCTAAGCTAATGGCGAAAACACTGAATCATTGATGCAAGACACAAATACCGGGTAAAATAATGAGATTGAAAGAATATTGATTGAAACAAGGCATTTCTTAGAATTTGGGGAAAACAAGGTATCTTAGGAGGCAGCATTTTAAAAAGACAGAAAATAAAAATTCTATCCCTTATTCACCCTCATACAGTTGGAAATCTGTACTTCTGCAGAACATGAAACATGTTATTTTGAATAAAGTTTCATATATTTTGCCCATACAATAAAAAAGAGCCGTGTCCAAAACAACATCTAAGCCCACTGACTTCACTGTATGGAAAAACAAACAAAAAAAAAAAACTGTCATTTTTAAAGGGGTCGTATTATGCTTTTTCACATTTCAACTTTTGTTAGTCTGTAATGTTGCTGTTTGAGCATAAAAAAGATCTGCAAAGTTACAAAGCTCAAAGTCCACTTCAAAAGGAGATATTTTATTTAACAGAAATCACTTTTCAAAAACTACAACGAACGACTCGTTTGGACTACAATGCATATTTTACGGGATTTGTGATATCACGAATGGGACGAGACCTGGTTGAGCTGCACTAGAGAAGGCAACGAGTGTTATCACTATGTTGGAGACGCGCTAGCTTTCCCAAGGCAGACGAACTTAGAGTGGTTACAATCATCCGGGTTTAAATCACGCTCAAAATGATTTGATATTGACGCAATATTTACACTGAGGCTCGCAGGCGGCTATGGTAAGGGAGCATGACATTTCCCGACCAGGTGCCGAGTGCTGCCAATCACAACACCTTCTTTTGTGTTCCGCTGAAGAAAGCCAGTCATTCAACCTTGGAATGATGACATCATTTTCTCTTTTTGGTGAACTATTCCTTTAAGGCTTATGATGCCTAAGTAGGCAGCTCACTAGATTTTAGAACAGAGCAAATGAGCACTACGGCACTACTGTACACGGTAAGAACATGTGTCTTCTGTATTTGTGTGTGTTTGAAAAACAGAGCTAGAACGCGTGAGCATGAGTGTGTGTGTGGTGGCGTGCCCACGTGTGCAAGTCAAAGAGACAGAGAACCACTCAGCTTGCTCAAATCTGCAGTGTTCAAACATCATAATTAAATATTATCATTCTAGTGAACAATGAAGGACATCCACTCAAACGCTTCGTCAAAGTCATTATTATAATATAAATATAATTATAGAGCAGCTCTCTAATTAAAACACACATCTTTGGCTGCAGCGGTCCGTTCATGATTGAAAGCCAATAGACAATAAGTGGGTGACACTGGCAGATGGTTGGGTTCACATAGAAGGATGGATGGTAATTAGCCCTGTCTCTTACGGGTTCCCTCCTATTCTTCAGCACAGACGCCCTCCAAACCCTCATATTAGTGGCCTTAATAACCTTTCATGTGCTGCTAATGCCTAATCAAAAAGGAGTCTTTAGGACAAGATTAGCTGTAGAACTGAACAATGGGAATGAGCGCTTAACATCCAGATAAATGAAAGTATAGCCTATATAGCAGCTAGTGTTAAATATTTCAGCAAACAATGCATTTTCTAGCGCCTGTCGAATAACAATTCTTATTTGAAATGAAACAGTAGCTCCCAGTTAAGAGCGTCACCGTCGCCTTTGACAATGTGTTTTCACAGCATTTCTGGAAGAACATGAAGAAACCCTAGATATGCTGCATGTATGAGACAACCTGACACTCACAATGCAAATAGATTAAGACAGAGTTCTATGTGTGAAATATGTGGAGCTTCACACCACTTATAAACAGTGCTGAGAGTAACATGGTACAATTAATGCACATCTTGTAATTAAAGGACTTTATGAATAATACACTACAGTTCAAAAGTCTGGGGTTTGCAATGGTTTTTTATGTTTTCAAAATAAGTCTCTTATGCTCCGCAAGGTTGCATTTATTTGAGGGGAAAAAAGGGAAATATTATGAAATATTTTACAACTGAACTATTTTTAGGATTCTTTGATAAATAAAAAGTTCAAAAGAACAGCATATATCTAAAAAAGTATGTAATCCTTGGTAAATAAAAGTATTAATTTCTTATGCGTGTATATATATATATATATATATATATATATATAATGTAAATGTAGTGTAAATAAACAATACAGTACATTTGTACTTTTTCACACTATAATCCCACTAAATTTATATTTCAAACAAAGTCATAATGCACCTGTTATCCAGAGCCAAAACAACTGCTTTCATATAAAA